GTCCAGCAAACACTCAAATAATACATTAACACATCAGACTGAATGTCCAGCAAACATTCAAACAATACATTAACACATCAGACTGAATGTCCAGCAAACACTCAAATAATACATTAACACATTAGACTGAATGTCCAGCAAACACTCAAACAATACATTAACACATCAGACTTGAATGTCCAGCAAACACTCAAGCAATACATTAACAGAAAATACTCAAACAATACATTAACACATTAGACTGAATATCCATTAAACACCCAAACAGTACATTAACACATTAGACTGAATATCCATTAAACACCCAAACAGTACATTAACACATCAGACTGAATATCCATTAAACACCCAAACAGTACATTAACACATCAAACTGAATATCCATTAAACACCCAAACAATACATTAATTAACACATCAGACTGAATATCGAGAGATATTTTGAGAAGGATGTTTCTACAACATAAAAGCAGAATGTTATCACCCAGGGCAGGTTTAGAAAAAAACAATACCGTCAAATTGGCGGGAAAACTTCCGGAAATGATATTAACCTACTCACGAGATCTAATTGATGAAAATATAAATGTGAGATTACAGAACAACTTCGGTATCTCCACTCTGCAAAGTTCTAAAAGAGAGAGAGGAAAAAAATAAATTAATCAAATACAGCTTGTTCTATTAAGTTCTGTCTCTCTACCATAATGTTCTGTTTTTATGTATAAACTGCTTTCTTAATCAATTATTTTAGTGTTCCTTCCATATCAGGTTTTATACTTTTCTTACTATGTTTAAAAGGAAGTAGATATCAGAGAAGTTAGTCAAAGCTTAATGATACTAATTTTCATTATAAAGTTTGTATGACAATTTACCTCCCTAGCTCACGTCATAGCATACTGTAGGAAGGCGTTCTGCTAAAAACCATACTGTAGGAAGGTGTTATGCTAAAAACCATATTGTAGGAAGGTGTTCTGCTAAAAACCATATTGTAGGAAGGTGTTATGCTAAAAACCATACTGTAGGAAGGTGTTCTGCTAAAAACCATACTGTAGGAAGGTGTTCTGCTAAAAACCATACTGTAGGAAGGTGTTCTGCTAAAAACCATTGTAGGAAGGTGTTCTGCTAAAAACCATTGTATGAAGGTGTTCTGTTAAAACCATTGTTTCTAACATAATCATAAAATGCAGTGGTTCTCAAACGGTCCTACCCCACCCGCTTTTGCTTGTCACCACTTTTCATGTACTTTGCATTTTGGACTAGCTCTCAACACACCTGTATGACCTGTAGGACTCTCGCGGGTTACCAGTGGGTCGCGGAACATACTTTGACAACCACTGACACTGATAAAATGCTATGAACAGACTGATGGCTCGAGTTTTTTAAAGTTTTTTTATACACAAGGTCGTTAAGAGTTTCTCTCTCTCTCTCTCTCTATATATATATATATATAATTTTGAGCGGTTTTGAATGCTGTAATTGAACATAGGCTTTAGTAAGTATCAAACTCGTTTTAATTCTACTACTTTTGATGTTGTAACTTTGATGCTCTAGCATATTTTGATGTTGAGACTATACTGGTGGGTTCTGGTCTCATTCACGATGAAAAGAAACGTGTGTATGTGTGATTTTAAGCAAGCTTTGTTTGTTTAAGCCACTTCGTTAGCTATTGTGTCGTCTTATTTTCATAAAATTAATTTTTTTTGGCTAAATATTCTGATTTCTTTAAAAATATTAGTAGATTTGATATGTCTTGACGACTCTTTCATATTTCTTTTCAATATCAGAACACCAAACAAAACAATAATAAACAGACGTAAAATATTGCTAGCGCCATCTAGTGGTAGTGGTATTACCCATTAGATTAAATAATGGAAATATTGATAAAAGAACACAATATCGTGCATAGCAATAAGTGAAAAACCACAGCAAACGGGACAAACTGTTAGAAGTCTGATATTAGAGAAACTTATTGAAAAGAAATAATTTTTAACGATGGGGTTAATGTCTGTACCCTAAGAAAACACAACTGCAGTTAATGTCTGTACCCTAAGAAAATACAACTGCAGTTAATATCTGTACCCTAAGAAAACACAACTGCAGTTAATGTCTGTCCTTGGAAAACACAACTGCAGTTAATTTCTGTCCTTGGAAAACACAACTGCAGTCTAGAGTGATTTTTATCATTAATATTAGGCCTGTCGGTTTCATTGCTTTCTTTCTTTAAGCCCATAAAATCTCACTAAATATTGGAAATTGTTCGACATTTCAAAAGCTGTTTAAAAATAGATCAGATCTACGCTAAGCCACAGCTTTTATACAAGTCATTAAAGTACAGATTCAGGCTGTTTAGAAACTTAACTAAGTCACAACTTTAGTATAAGTCAAGAAAGTAACATATTCGGACTGTTTAAAAGTTAGCCATTTTAAATCACAGCTTCTATATAAATCATGAAGTCATGAAAGCTCAGATTCAGTGTGTTGTTAATTAAAATCTGGCCAGATTATCCCGAAGTCACAACTTTAGAATAAGTCAAGAAAGTAACATATTCAGACTGTTTAAAAGTTGGCCATTTTAAATCACAGCTTCTATATAAGTCATGAAGTCATGAAAGCTCAGATTCAGTGTGTTGTTATTTAAAATCTGACCAGATTATCCCGAAGTCACAACTTTAGAATAAGTCAAGAAAGTAACATATTCGGACTGTTTAAAAGTTGACCATTTTAAATCACAGCTTCTATATAAATCATGAAGTCATGAAAGCTCAGATTCAGTGTGTTGTTATTTAAAATCTGACCAGATTATCCCGAAGTCACAGATTTAGTATAAGTCATACAAATACATATTCAGACTGTTTAGAAACTGACCAGGTCCTCCGAAGTCACAATATTGGGTTCTTTGTTAAACGAATCTCTTATGTTTACTTTATATTTCAGGGTTTCCTGTATGATATCCTACTTTAGTATAAAGTTCAACACCACAAATCTCTATGGAAATGAATTTTTAAACTTCTTTCTACTCGGACTCGTTGAGTTACCTTCCTACTTTGTCTGTTGGTACCTTATGGAAACGATAGGGCGACGATGGACAAACGTGAGCTTAGCACTATTGGTTGCTCTTAGTCACTTTTTATCAATCCCATTCACAGCAGGTAGGTGTTCATTTGTGAACATGGTAGTGTTTCTTACAATTTTCTGGTACACACAATGAGAGACAATATGTTTCTTTGTACAGGCTATAAACCCCCAAACAAAGGTGAAATGTCAAGATCAGTGACCAAAGATCAAATCTTTTGAATACGTATTCAAGCAGTACCTTATTGAAATAACAAGAATAGAATAAAGTTTTAAATCCTATTTTAGATCAATAGGCTCGATATAAACAAAATGGCGGAAGCTTTATGTGCTAATAAGATTATTTAAAAAAAAAGCGAATATAACATATTACGACCACTCTAACTACAGAATAATTTCATCTAGACCGTGATTGTAATTGAATAATTTGACATTTTTCAGCATATTTCTGAAACAATAACAACAGCAATGGAATCTACTAATGTGACAAAAATAAAAACGCTGAAAAACTATCATAAGTTGAGCAGGGATTAAAATACGGGGGTCAAATGTCAAGAAACCTACGCAAGCATAATGAGGCAAAACAATTTAGTACTGGGAATATGATGTGGAGTTTTGAAGGTTACTCTGAATTGAATGACCACTTTGGTCATTTTGAAAATCTCTTTGAGTTGTCTAACATGCTAAAATTACACACGGAGAAAATTTAAACTTCCGCCATTTTGTTTCTATTACCTTGAAACTGCTAACAAACATTTCGTTTTTACCTATTTATCCCAATAAGATATTACTTGAGTTCTAACTACGATATTGACTTTTGGTTCCTAATATTGCTACTTCTCCTTTAATTCAGATAAACAACGTTTCAAACAATAAGTGTTTGGCAGACATATCTTTAAAATTAATACGTTTAGTATAACAGCTCATAGGTAACAATAAAATAAATAACTTTTTAACAATGAGATAACAATACTGGTGAAGGATCACTTCTTAAATAACCTTTTAACAATGAGATAACAATACTGGTGAGGATCACTTCTTAAATAACCTTTTAACAATGAGATAACAATACTGGTGAAGGATCACTTCTTAAATAACCTTTTAACAATGAGATAACAGTACTGGTGAAGGATCACTTCTTAAACGTTAATAACTGCGATGCTAGATCTCAACAATACATATAATAACACATTATTTAATTTCTGTAATGCAAATTGGTGTATGGAAGACATTTGAATATGAGAAACAAATGACCTTATAACACCAAATTTATTTTTCTTTAATTGGACGTTTCGCTTTACAGTGGAACACTCCCGAAGAAGCTGTAAAGCGAAACGTTGTGTGTGTCCAATTAAATAAATATGACAAATTTGGTGTTATAAGGTCATTTATTTACAGTATTAAAATACATATAACGAGTTTCATCATATTTAGCTGATTTGACGAGCTATGGTATTGTGTGAATGGCCTCGTCGGCTGCAGCTCACGATGAATATAGGCCCATCTTAATGGATGTACATATAGTTGATCTCATTAGGATTATCATCAGTTCTGACACAGCAATAAGCTATACAAATAAAAATGTTCAATAACTGATGAAAAAGAAACACATTTCAATTTTAGTAACAACACTGTTACTTGATAATGTGTTAGTTATTTTGTACTAACATTCATTTCTAAGGGTGGAATATAATGAAATAGTCATGATTAAGTATGTTGTCACTAAACATGTACTAATACTCAAACATCAGCTGTTTATAACATAGTTTTCATACAGTAAGAAAATTAATTTAAAACCATCCGTACCAGAGAACGCCTCACATTGTGCGTTTTCCCAACCTAATGTGTTATGTAACTAATATTAACTCTTTGTTCATTGTGATAAATCAGGACTTATAATACATTAGCTCATGTAACTAATTTTATTAACCCTTTATCCATTGTGATGAAACGTAACTTCATGAATAAACTAATATGTAACTGTGTACCTAAGTATGCTATTCCATTTATCGAAATATGTAAACAAGATGTACATAATTTACAATATTAACCTCTAAAGGATTAAAGGACAAACGAAAAAAACAAACAAACAAAAAAAAACAACGCGAAGCATGCGAACAAAATGTCTGACTGAAATAATGCGATTTAAGTGAAGTCTAATTCGTAAAATCGTCCCTCACAACGTTGTCGACACGTATTGTTAAGTAAAGTTACAATTAATCTTGATTCTGACGGTTTAACACAGGTGTTTGAGTCCTTATTCTTTACCTCAAACAAAAAAGAAACTTCACATAGCTATCGTATTTATAATAGAATATAATGTATATTATCTTCTCTTCTCCGATTTTAAAAGTAATAAAGAAATTATTGTTATTTTCATTTCCGAACAGAGTTAGCTATCTACAAGACATTTGGGGCCCTCGTGGGAAAGTTTTGCAGTTCTGCATTATTCATGGTGGTGTATCAACAGGCAGCGGAACTTTTTCCAACCCCTGTCAGGGCTCTAGGAATGGGAGCCAGCGCTACCATCATATGCATAGCCACAGTTTGTGCTCCTTCTATCATCTATTTGGTAAGGTATTATAATTATGTTTGATTTATTTTGATCCAGCATTCACACACTTTCAGAAATTATTTTTTATTAAAAGGCACTTTTTCATTGCATGTCAATTATTCCATTTTTTATCACCGTATTCGTACCAGTTGTTGCTTGGAAGATTGATAAAACGTCTTTATAACATATATTATTTATTGATTTTTTAATGACTGGGTTAACGTCTGCCCTAGGAAATTACAACTGCAGTCTAGAGTGATTTTTATCATTAATATTAGGCCTGTTTGTTTCATTGTTTTCTTGGCTTACGCCCGTAAGATTCATTTAGTTTATTCTATTGACCATCAGCTTTCATGTTGTTTATTTCTTTTTCAATAATTACAAAACTTGATGTTGTTAAAGTTGTTACAAGGGCTGAGAGTGAATAACAGATTAGAATAAGAAGCAACCTGGAAACAAAATCCAGAAAAAATTCGTAATTCTTAAATTTAAACTGGCTTTGGTGTAGGAATGGACCGAGAAAAAAATGGCCGTCGCTTTCATTTTATTAATCTATGATGCTTACCAATAATTGCCAAAGTTCAGTTATAGCCTTATTTAAGCACCTAATTGCTATTATCGAGCTTTTCACAATTTGTGACACTCCTAATATTATTGTAAAATGTTGATAAATTGGAGAATTTGGAAGTAGCTAAAGAGCCAAAAGGTTCACCTTTTTCTTCTTCTTCACGCTAGTCAAAATATGAGTGAAGTTTCTGGAATAAATTTCATAAGACAGAAAAGCATTTTAAGAGTACTTGGGAAGAGGTTATCATTAAGCACAATAGTATTTAGTATGTATGGATGGGCCGAGAAAATAATGTTCGCCGCATTCAATATATTACTCTATTATTCTTAGAAATAACGGTTAAAGTTGAGTTGTAGTCTTATCTGGCATATAATTGCCATTATCGAGTATTTCACAGCTTGTATAACAGTTATATTAGTCTGTTCTTCTACTATTTGTTTGGGGGAAATAATAAAAAGCAAAACTACTACTTAGCAGTGAGTTCAGTTTGTAAGCATATATTATTTCTATGTTTTATAAATAACAGTTTCATTTCTGGTTGCTAGATGGCCGGACAAATTAATCTTATATAACGACCATTTGTGACTTTTCATTGCACAAACGTGATACCTGTCAAAACAATTTCAGTACAAAAGAAATAAGGAATAATCTAAATTAATATTCAAGTTATCAAGGAGATCAAGTATTCATACAACTGATAGACCTGTGTACATGTTAATAATCGAAACAATACATTATACAGCAGTTTACTTTTCTTCAAATCATCCCTACTCCTGATTATCCTGCTTCAGTCACACCTGTTTGTACTACTGATATGCTTACACCACCATTAAACTGTTCCTAGTGTGCACTCATAAGCGTCGTGGTCCTTGCCACCACAACGAGCACACGTCAGAGAACCATGACAAGATGTCTTTGAATGGCCAAATCGCTGGCACTGGAAATATCAGAGAGGGTTGGGAATATACGGCCGTACCTTACAATTCAAATAACCTGCCTTAACAGTGGTAGGTGGATGTGGCAATGAAAACATCAAAATAAGAACAGAGGTCGGTACCATAATACCATCTTGATGAGTGGAGATCCCTCGAAATGCTGAAACTCCTTGGCTGGAGAAACCAGCAAGGATCTCTGACTCAGGGATAGTTTTCAAGTCCCTCTCGAAAATACTCCTCATGAAGAATTCAAATAAGCATGGGGACTAACCTCAATGGGTATATCCCCAATGGCCTTTGAATTCAAGAAGAGTTCACTGTGCTTAGCTTTGGTTGTTTCAACCAAGATGTCTCCAGAACGGAGCTTCTTAACTGACTTTGGTGAGCCAGCAAGCCCTCTAATTCCTTTGTGTTTAAAAAAGGGAGACATTTGCCTTAAATATATTTGAGACAGGGAATGGAGGATCAGGAAGCGAAGTACAGGTGTACATTTTGGTGGAGACTGCTAGTCGGAGTCTTAAAGGTATGGTCGTTTACCAACGAGCAGAGTTTTTTGTATTTGGGGGATCCATACTAAAAGAGAAAGATTCAGACCCCACCCGACATGACGTCCTACAAGGGGACACACTACAATGTCAAACAAGGACATTGTAGCAATGCCATGGTTTCGTGAACACTTTACCCAAACACCAGCATCAGACACAATATCCACAACACCCATTGAGAACGCCCAACACTGGGACCAGCCAATTGACCCTGAGGGGTCATCCATAGGCCACCCGTCTACAGGAATTCAAGGCCAAAGTGGTGTGTTGCAGTGTCCAAGACATCACTCATCCACCAAGATCCTCTCCTCCCCTTCATGGGTCACCATGCCCAGCAAACACGTGGGTGGATGCTTAGATCAAGGAGGAGGTAACTGAAAATACAGAACCTTCCCTGGGAGGTCCCTTCCCCACATACAGGAATCCACCCTGAAGGGTATTCTGTAAAGCGATGGTGAGAAAATGGAGTAGATCGTCAACAGTAGGTTGTGTAACCCTCACTGTGTTAACTGTAGTGGTTCCCACACCTATTACTTTAGGTCTTGCCCTGAGTGGTTGGTGGAGAAAGAGGTACAGCATTTGAAGACTGTTAACAACATTTCTTACCCTGAGGTTCGGAAGCTATTGTTCCCTACTAAATCTTGGACATATGCCACTGCACAACACTCCACTGCTACAATGAGGGTGCAGGTTGACCTTTCTGTGCCTCCGTCTGAGTCTTTTTCACGTCGTGAGGGGTCTTCTGTCCTCCTTGAAAAACAGAGTTGATCAGTCTATGTATACTCCAAACTCTGTCCCCACCATTCTTTCCAGTGACTGGCTGGGTCCATCGCTTCGAGCACTGGCCTCCATTGTCTGCTTGGGTCCTTTTTTGGCCCCTAAATGCAGGACTATCATTCGATCACGTCCTCAGTCGTTGGATTCTCAGTCTGATGACAGAGATCTGCTTGCTCGATTATGGGCAGGATCCATGGAGGTCGATCAACCTTCTTGTAGTAAAGAAAAACGGCGTGGTCGTAAACCAAACGGTTCTCCACCCTGTTCTACTCCACCTACATAAAAATAGCCATTTTGATACAGTGGAACTGTCGAGGTTTTCTTTCTAATCTCTATGCCATTAAGGCCTTGATCGATTACTATCATCCCGTGTGTCTCTCCTTAAAAGAAACATTTCTGAAATCTGCCAATACAGTCACCTTTCGGCAGTTTCTCTGTACTGGAATGACAGGATGTGTGATTGACGAGTGCATGGAGGGGTGGCACTGCTGGTCGACCAGCATGTGCCCTCCTTATCTGTGTACCTCGATACACCCTTGGAGGCCGTAGCCATCCGCGTTTCCTTTGGTCGTACCATAACTGTTTGTTCTCTCTACCTGTCTCCTGGGGAGACTTATGATCAATCGAACCTTGATGCTGTCGTTGACCAGTTGGGAGACTTTAATGGACACAATCCTCTTTGGGGTGGTGCTGATATTGATGGGAGTGGTCGTTCCATAGAGCATATGCACTCGGATCACAACCTTTCTCTCTTTAATACTGGAACATATATTTATTTTCATGCACCTAGTCAGTCTTTTACTGCCATTGATCTCTCGATTTGCTCCCCTTCACTTTCACTCACTTTTCTTGGATGGTCGACAGTGACCCACGGGGCAGTGATC